TCTTTCCCTTTTTTGTTTACGCTCTCACTCTGGAGGTGTGTCTACACAAAGGACAACTTGGGATTCAACAGTTTTGTTCTGTTTTAATGCGCATTTATAGTTGAATTCTTTTAGTTTGACTGCGATTGCTTGTTATGCCAGTAGTGTTTGTCATTGGTCTAACGCTTTGTGCTTGATGGACTTGATGATGATGATAATGATTCCATTTTATGACGGATTTGAAATTTGAATATTCTTCTGTACTATGCCTTGTGCTTTATTGCGAAAGACTGGGCTCAATTAGTATTCATTAACTGTCTTTATTAACTTCCCATTTCATGCTATGCTTTCAAGTAGTTCTGTAATTTTTATCCTGTTTTGTAGGTGCCTTGGCATACTTCTTCAGAAAGTGGATGACGGGCTCTATGTACATGAAAAGATAGAATGGATGTATGGACATGCAAATATATCAGTTCCTGTGAATAGGTTGGGACTTGCTAAGGGCATGGGATTGGTATGTTAGTGAGAGAAGCTGGGCAATGTTCTTTTTTAGAGGAAAAAGGGTGGAAAAGGTCCTATTATATATGAGGGCCGTTTTAGTCCCAAACTATCTAACGTATTCAATTTAGTCCATTGACTCCTCAAATTTGTTCTAAAAGAGTTCATTGACAATTTAAATCTTATTCAAGATAATTTAACAGAGATTATTATGGATTATATTTAAAGATTCAATGGACTAAATTCAATACTTTAACAACTTGGAACTAATATAATGTCATTCAAATGATTCAGGGACAGTTTGGATATTTTTCTTTTTTCTTTTTAATCTGTCTGTTTTTTTTTTAGTTTTGTTGTTTGATTCCTGCAGGTTGCTGCTTCTCATTTGGATACTGTATTGGAAAAGCTGAAATCAATCTTGGATAATGTTGGACAGTATAGGTTCCATAGGTAATTTACTGGATTCTCTTATCTTTTTTTTAAATATCTAAATAGTGACGTTTCTCTTACCAGGCGCCATATAACACGTTAAGAGATATTACTTTTTAGTTTCTCTTTGTCTTCTCCTTAATCCATTTATTATTGTAACTTGCATTCTTGTCATTAACAACTGGATACTCAAAATTCACATATTTTTGGCTTTTTCCTTTTTTATACATTTAGTCTATCTTGCATTTAGCTGACCCTTAGAGTATGATCAGTTAATTCTACCATTTTAATTGTTGTTGTGTTGATGTCCTGATTGCATTAATGAGGCATAATCCATGTGCTCCTAAAAACTGTAGTTATTTATTAAAAACTTCTAACTTAACGAAATGGAATACTTTATACCGGTGAATGGTTATTTGCAAACGCAAAGACAAAATTTCTTTGCACCTCTCAGCAGTAACCAGGCAAACTAGCCTAGATAGTGATGCATTTTCTTTTGCGTATTTACTTTTCACTGTCAAAACAATAAGTTTTTTCTTTGCTCATGCTGCTCTCTCTTCTACGCGTGCATTTCCCTGTGTGAGTACCGAATGGCCCTTAAAAAATTGAGGCCCGCTCGATTTTGTTCTCGCATGCACGATCTTGATCTCTATCTCTCCCTTCCTTGTCTCCTGCTTATCCTCTCCTACCTGAAACCCTTAAGTAGGGAAAACATTGGATTAGTTGCGTGAGAAGGAAGAGGAGTCATGGTGGGAGCTCGATAGAGAAAGTTGACTGGTCCAACAGTGTGTGAGTAGGGGTGTAAACGAGCTAAGCTTGAGCGAACCCAAGACTTGTTTGTATTTAGCTAGTTCATTTTTTTATTGTTCGTGTTTAGCACATGTTTTAATTGGCTCATCAATAGCTTCTTCGTGTTCGTCTCTATTTAAGGTCATTTGTTCAAATTAGCTCGCTATTTAATTATTTAACAAGCCTGCATGAATTTAAGCTCATTAATAAAAAACTCATTAAAATTTTTTTTTTTCAAGTAATGCACAATATCTGCCACCATGTGCACATAATATGGGCACTTTTCTTCCGTTTCTATACATTTAAACATCAAGGATTGCTTTCACTCCCGGTGTGGGACTAAAGCTGGACAGTGGGCGGGATATTTGAAAGGCAGGACTTTATTTCAGGCATTTACACATAACACTAGTTTTTTATATGTTTACATACATAATAATATAATATTTATCGTGCAGGCGTGAGGCCTGTGGGCTGTGGCTGGCAACAGATTTTTTAGGAGAATTTACATTTTTACCACCCAAATCCTTTGTATTTACATAACACCTAAACTTAGCTGGATAGGGCAAGATTTTATGTTCATTAACGTGCACACCAGCAAAATCCTATGTATTTTCATATTTAACACCTAAAATTATACTTTTTATAGTTATATCACCTAAATAATCATTTTAAAATAATGAAATTTAGAATTATACTTTTTATAGTTATATCACCTAAATAATCTTTTAAAATAATGAAATTCATGAATTTAAGCTCATTAATAAAAAACTCATTAAAATTTTTTTTTTTCAAGTAATGCACAATATCTGCCACCATGTGCACATAATATGGGCACTTTTCTTCCGTTTCTATACATTTAAACATCAAGGATTGCTTTCACTCCCGGTGTGGGACTAAAGCTGGACAGTGGGCGGGATATTTGAAAGGCAGGACTTTATTTCAGGCATTTACACATAACACTAGTTTTTTATATGTTTACATACATAATAATATAATATTTATCGTGCAGGCGTGAGGCCTGTGGGCTGTGGCTGGCAACAGATTTTTTAGGAGAATTTACATTTTTACCACCCAAATCCTTTGTATTTACATAACACCTAAACTTAGCTGGATAGGGCAAGATTTTATGTTCATTAACGTGCACACCAGCAAAATCCTATGTATTTTCATATTTAACACCTAAAATTATACTTTTTATAGTTATATCACCTAAATAATCATTTTAAAATAATGAAATTTAGCTTTTTTTAAATACAGCATAAAATAAATATAAATAAATATATTATTTAATTATTTTTTTTATCTCGAGCTAAAATGATCCAAACATTTAGTGTTCGGCTTGTTTATAAAACTAGTTTAAAAAGATTACTTGTGTTCGGCTTTCTTGCTTAACAAACGAATTGAACATGAGCTAATTTACGTGCGAAACTCGAGTTGTTCGCGAACGACGAGCTTTATTGACAACCCTAGTGAGGAGAGGAGATGGTGCACCTGGACCTTGCTATCGAGGCATCAATGGATTCTACTGTATAAGCTAAGAAATAAAGTGGTAGCTCACTGTAGAGGATGCCTGCAGGCCAGCATGCGAAAGAAAGGAGTTCATGAGACGTGATTTAATGTGGTTGTTGATGATTCATATTTTATGTGATTGTCTTTCTATGAATTAAATCTTATGAACTGGGCTGATGAATTGGTAATCCCCTTTCCTGCAGGATATTTTCATTCTTTTCCAATAGAGCTAAGGTTGAAGATGCTGACGATATACATGCTGCACTAGCATTGATGTATGGTTATGCTGCCATATATGCTCCGTCAACAATTATAGAAGCTAGAATTGATGCGCTTGTGGTATAATTTCTCATTTTTCTACTGCTATATTCTCTACGAACAACTATTCTAGATCTTCCATCCTGGCTGTTCCATTTAAGCATGAGAATTTTTAGTTTTATTTTGTTTTAAATGATGATGATAACTTTTAGCATCTTAGTACTGACAGATGCTGTTGATCGACCTCATGTTGATTTTACCTTTCTCTTAATAGATAGAGCAGAAAAAAAATATGTCCTTATCTACATTGACGATATATATCTGATTTTTATTGAATAGGATTTTACAAGGGAAAAGGTGTAAAAGCTCTATTCTGTTTTCAATCGCAGTGCAATTTGGTTTATTGCCTTCTGCGTAAACAAAATAATGGTTATAACAAGTCTTACTTTATAGTGCAAAAATTTAGATTTGGTCATTTAGGATGCTATCAAGTCATGCTTCACTTGGCATTTACAGGGATTTTTTAGAGAATAGTTCAGATGGATTTATTGCATGCCTTTTGCAATTCATGGTCTTTTTTTTTAACTTTTTTTTTCCTTACAATTATGGTATTTAATGGTTTTCTTTTCTAGAATTTGAATGGCCATTTTAGAGATTGTTGTTCTCCAAAGTAAATCTGTTCTACTCAATTGACTAGACCACTTAAGTATGCCAGGGAAACATATGTAAATGTTTAAAGTACTTATTCAATTTTGTAAGTTGGCCCTTGAATACGGGGAAAATAATTTGTAGAGCTTCTAAGAGTAAATTTTAGTTTTAATTATCATTAAGGATTCTAGTAGCTCTGCCAGCATGGTAATGCCTAATAGACATCAAATCAAACTGACATTGGAATAAATCAAACTGACATTTTCTGGGATATATATCCCTCCTGGAATAGTTGATCACCACAATCACATGTCATTACCTCCGTTTGTAATGTCAATCTCCATGGAAGTTGTTGGAGGGCGTTGACATCTCTGGGTTAACAAGTACAAGAGAAGGTTTTTTAGGATTCAGACCGTTGACTGCCTCTTTATTTTCTTTTTTTTGTGGATCCATTCTTATCTGGGCAACTTGCGGTGCCATAGTAGTAAAACTGCTCCTGTATGTTATATTCATTACTCTAGGATAATGTGGAGAACACATTGTAACATTTTCTAGGAACTACTGGAGATAATTTAGGAAGCACATTGTAACATTTTTTAGGAACTATTGGAATCTATATTAGCTATTACTCAACAAAAGAACTTACACGTATGAATTATTTGACACAAAACTGATTATTCTTTGATTTCCATGGCCTGTCCATTTAAACAGGGAATTTTGATATCCGAATGGCTTAATGTTTCGCTTCTTATGATTGTTTAGACGTGTCCAAAAATTTCCCGACTTGAACTCAACTTGAAAAATCTTGATTATCGCCTCATTATTATTCGGGTTGGGGTGGTGTCTAAATTATAAACCCATCAAAATCAACCCGAAATTGACTGGATTATGATTTGGGTTTGTGTTGGGCTCTAAAAATGGAATGATCTGTATAATAAATATATTAGACGGTTCAGGTTTGGGTTAAGAGGGCTTCAGTTAAGTCGGGTTCAAATGTAAAAAATGTATTACACGGTTCGGGTTTCATTTTGGTGGACTTTGGTTGAGTCGGGTTCAAATCAAATATTTGAGCCTTATAATAAACAAGTTAGGTTCAATTCAAGTATATTCGGGTCAATCAAATTTGGATTAGACCTCCAACCTAAACTATCTACCCAAATTGTCATGCAAATCCTTAAGTCAATCATTTTTTATTACTTTTCTTGCAGGGTACCAATGTGCTTTCACGACTTCTTCATGTGCAGCATCCTACATCAAAGCAGGCAGTCATCACGGCAATTGAGCTGCTTGGTACTTCTTTGAGCTTGAGTCATGTTAAATGTTTATGCACTGTATTTTTGTGTTTGTTGTTCTTTTATAATTATGCTAACATGATAATTTACTCAATTTTATTTAACAACTGCATGCCTTGTCGAAATATTTCTTTCAAATACATATTTTAGTGTTGATTTTCTGGCTTCCGTATTTCTATAAATGACTTACTAGATCCAACTTTTATGTCAAACTATTTGTATGAGTTGTGCAGTCTGACATGTTTGCATTCTGTTGTTCAGTTCAGCCCATTGATATTTAGTTCTTGTTCAAACTGGCTCAGTGCTTGAAGCTTCAGTCACTGGTTACACCATTTGTTTCAAGAAAGCCCATCATATTTAATACTTCTCGTAATGTCAAAATAGATTGATGAAAAAATGAAATTAAAAAAAGAGTGGGGAGTAATCATGATTTTATTTTTCTGTTTTACTTGGAGTAAAACCATCAAATATGCTCATGTAACTTGTGCATATGTAGTAATCTGAGATTCTTGTGGGTACTGAAATCATTCAGCTGACTGATATCCTCATCTCCTCTTTGATTTATATGGACGGTAGGAATTATTTAGCTGAGCTCTTTCTTTTATCCATAAACATCATCATCATTGTAAACATCATTGTCACCTTTCTCCAATCTATTGGTTCATTTTTATGAATTCTCCTCCCATAAATCTTGGGAATGCTAAATGAAATGTTTATTCTAGCTCATGGAACTTTTTCTATACAATTTCTAAGTTTTCCTTGCTCTATATATTTTTTGTCTGAGTCTAATAATTCACTTTCCTTGCCTTATTAAACTATATTCTTTTTTTTGTGTATTGGCGAATTCTCCAAATCTTGTTTCACTATCTTATTTTCAATAGTAGTCATTTTGTTTTTCTACTTTGATATTAAAAAGTTCATTGCTTCCCATTTGTCAAATTCAAGGAACATAGACAATTTGACTTTTGTAAATGAACCTTTCAAGTCTAATGATATTCTACTATTCATAATACTGATAAGTACTTTTTATTTTAGCCACTCAATTATGATGGTAAAATTTATATCCTCGTCTTTGTTCATGTTTGGAAAAAAATCTAAGATATTTAAGCTTATCACACCTAGCTATCTATCAGATCTCTTGTTATATTAATAATCTTCAAGTATTCTTGACATAATCATTCACATCAATTGCTGTATTTTCTTAGTCTTCGCAAACAGTTTTATCCTTCGGTTTGGCATGAGTTAGTGTCAATTGAATTAACAGGGCCCGAATTTATATTTCAAAGTTTACGGAACACAACTATTTAGAAACAAGCAAGCTCAATTTCAAGCGTCCATATGTCAAAATACAAATTTTATCTTCATGTTGTTCAGCAAATACTCATTTGCAAATTTTAAATGATTATTAATGTAAGTACACTATTAGATTGGGCAGATAAAGCACAAAACTGCCATGATTTGACATCGTCTTTACTCTTAACTCAACTATGTGTATCCTTTTTGAATTTTCATTACTGTTTATGTAACATATTTAACTGTTCTAGTGCAGTGAAAAATTGTCGATTAGCTTTAAACTTCAGGGAGCTCTTGTTGCAAAAAGAAACAACCGTGAATTGATCGACCTTAGAAGTAGAAAACTTCTTGTGTCAACTGCACACGATTATTTTGTGATTCTCTTTGTTTTCTCTTAAAATATCTCTCGTGCTTTCCTTTCGACCTTGTTGACTGTGTATACATTTTATCCTTTTGTAGGCTGTGCAGTTATTAATGCTGCTGAAATGGGTATTCACTTCCCACTAAAGCGAAGAGACCAGCTACTTGATTATGTGCTAACCTTAATGGGTACAGAAGAAACTAATAGTTTTACCGATTCTAATAATGAGCTTATCCATACTCAAGTATGTTGATGATTTGTACTTATTTTGTGGGATAATCATTTCTGGTCAAGATATTTTCTTAGTTTATAGCCGGCTTTTTGATAAGCCATTATTTTCTTACGAATTTGCAGAGCCTTGCTTTAAGTGCATGTACAACTTTGGTTTCTATAGAACCGAGGTTACCATTGGAAACAAGAAATCGTGTTTTGAAGGTAATTTATTATACACTCATTGGAAACTGCTTGACGTTTACTTGGCCATATGGCTTTTTGTTAATCTCAAGTACTAATTTTTCAGGCTACATTAGGATTTCTTACTTTGCCTAATGAACCCTCCGACATAATTGATCCTCTAATAAAAAACCTCATTACTCTGTTATGTGCCATTCTGCAAACCAGGTAAGTCTGATGCATACGATTTAGTGCCTGCATTTACTTCATGCTAAATCCCTTCACTATTTTTATTTCATTTCTTGAGCTTACTTTCATGCCTTTTTAGTTCATGGTTCAAGGAAAATAATCCTCAAAACATCAATCTATATGTGAAAGTTACCATGCAATTGGCTTACTAAAATACTTATTATGGTTTCTCTATGTAATGCCTGCTAAGTGGGATAAAGAAGAGCCAACCTAAATGTAGTGTTTTCAGAAGTTTAGACTCGTTTCAAGTGCCTCCTAGTGAAGCTGTTCTAGGTTTTCTAGAATATATTTGGGAAAGCAGCAGCAAATTGGATGAAGGAGGCCTCTGAATGTCCTGGAGAGATCATCATTTTGGTCTTATCTCAGCCTATAGACACACCACTTAAAAGAAATCCAACGATACAACACTCCAATAGGAAAAATCAGTTGTAAACATCTCCAAATAATATAAGCAAAACCAAAAGCCTGTTAAGCCAACAAAATAACAAAATATAAATAGCTCTGTAATAGTAAAGAACCTAATTGGAAATATTGGACTCGAAAAAAATTAGAAAAGATCTTAAATTGATTGGAATAAAAAATTGGGTGGACGGGACATCGGTTCCGTGATTGTGGTAATATATGTGATGTTAAGGAATCACTAATTTTTGAGATTGGATCACATGCGATCATAGGAATGTTGTTTTCGCATCCTGCAATCAGAATGTGGGATTTTACAATCCCGTAACTTAGCAGAACGCTTCGTGTTATTCTCCCTTACTAGGAAAGGCATCTATTTCTCTGTAGGTATCCAAAATTGATGTACCACCATAAGTCATTGCATTGATGTAGCTGCGGAGCGTTACTATAAAGTCTATGCTCATGTCTGCTCAAGACGCCCAAGACAACTCTGAAACACATACATCATTCCAAAGTTTGTCCTGATAGAATAAATAGTCATATTTCTCTGGCACAATCAGAGTTGGAGTTGCATCTAGATGTGTATTGCAACTCTGAAACACATACATCATTCCAAAGTTTGTCTTGATAGAATAAATAGTCATATTTCTCTGGCATAATCAGAGTTGGAGTTGCATCTAGATGTGTATTGTTATGATCCAAGCCTCGGGCCATTAAATATGTAATATTTTTCTCTCACTTCTCTTACTTGGTTAGGCGCATCCAATCAACAAGTCTGTCTGGATGAACTATTTATGTCATGATATCTATGGCATGCTAGATTACCTCATTGGCAACCACCAAGGAGATAAATTGTCAGTTAAGATTTTCGACAATTCCTTCAACAAGAGCTACCATTTTTCTGGCGTTGTTTCCTCAAACTAATTATCTATTAGGGCAACCAATATTAAGCTCATTGGAGTCTCTCTCATGGGCTCAACTTGAATTAGTAACATCTCTCCCTCATCATCTAAAATTTGGTACTCCTCAGCGACCTTATCTTCTTCAATATCTTTTGTGACACTGCCTATTTCAACTGCTCCCTGTACGGTGAAGATCACTCTTCTATTTGGGCAAGTGAGATTTTTACAATTCTTGTTGATTGGCGGTATCGTGATGTAAACGGTTGAGAGTAGCAAATTGGATGACGAAGGAGACCTCGAACTGTCTGCGAGAGATCACCACTTTAACACTATCAGACTACAAACACACCGCATGAAAGAAAATCAAAGATACAACACTCCAATAAGGAGAAATAAGGGGAAAACGTCTCTAAATATCATAAACAAAACCAAACGTCTGCTAAACCAGTAAAATATCAACATGTAAATAGCTCTATAGGGATGGGCCATCAGTTCGACAATTGCATAATTGTTTGCAATATTGTGGAATCTCTGATTTTCGTGATTTCAATCACCTACAATTGCATTCCTGTGGAATCACAAAATTCGCGCAATTGGGATGCAGGATTCTGCGATCCCTTAACTTAGCGGGATGCTCCGCGTCACCTGTACCTCAAGAACGTGCAATTAATTTAAACCAAGAGAATTGATTCTCTAGATGGAATGGAGATGGCCTGCTTTTTCATGAGAATATATTTTAATAACTTACGACATTTTTGCGCATCAGAAAATTGTTGATCGGCTTTTGTAATAAAACTTTTTGTTATTTTTCGATAATATTTTATGTCATGATTGAGGTGACCTTGAAATAGTTTTGCTAATGGATCTTAAGAGGAAAAGATCATAGCTCACTTCACGTTTTTTGCAGTGAAGTTTACATGTAGTGTCTTTTACCGGAGAGACAAATGTAGGAGATATCTTTTAAATTTGTAGATCCGTTAAATAGCTTAAGGGGAGCACATGCACCATCAAAACCTTAGTATTCTCTTTTTTTTTATGAATTTTTCATTGCGCCACCCGAGGTTCAGAATTTCACAATTGGATAATCAAATAATTTCTCTATAAGCGAGAAGACGCCTAAATGAGTTATAAGGCATAAGTTTTAAAATAAAATCATTCGAAAAATTAAAAAAATATCAAAAATAAGCATTAATAAATAATTTTTTTAAAAGCATAACATAACATCATAAAAGTTCATCTAAATACTCAATAAAAAGTAAGAAGCAGCTAAACTTAAAGTAGAAGTTCCAAATTAATAAGTAAACATGTCTTAAAGTATATTAATTATGATTTAGGACTCTAATATTCAGAAGTCACTCTCATTCCCATCATCTAAAAGTTTTTCATTAGAATAATCAATGTATTTTCTTTTATCCACATATCAATAACTTATAAATCTTCATCTTTTCTAAAACTCAATCAACTTTTTTTCCTAATCAATAAAATTAAATAAGAATATTGTTTAAAATAATGATTATATTGACATTTTATAATATATATCTTTTTTCATTCTTTCTTATCAAGTTTTATTATTTTATTCTTTCCTCCTTCTAAATTGTCGATATTGAAAACTTTAGCAATTGTGGTATTGAAACTATATTTTCGACCACTAAAAGCTATTCATTAATGGCACTACATTAATAGTAAATAGTTCTACATCATCCTCCAAAAATTTCTTCTTGAAGTAGATAGGTTTTAATCCTTTTTATGCATAATGTAAATCGATAAATTCATTTTTGGGCAATCGTGCTTTTTTTTTTTTTAAATTTTATTTACAAGTGCTTCTGTTTCGCTCACTCTCTGATAACGTGCATATAGGATTCAAAACTTATGATTGCAAACTGTTCTACATCATCCTCCAAAAATTTCTTCTTGAAGTAGATAGGTTTTAATCCTTTTTATGCATAATGTAAATCGATAAATTCATTTTTGGGCAATCGTGCTTTTTTTTTTTTAAATTTTATTTACAAGTGCTACTGTTTCGCTCACTCTCTGATGACGTGCATGTAGGATTCAAAACTTATGATTGCAAACTTTTTTTTTATTTATTTAGGACCATGAAAATAGAGGTGTACACCTCTTTAAAAATGTCTCAAGCAACTCTTCATTGGTTTGAGGCACAAACTATTTTTTCCACGTTAGGCTAAAGCCTTGTGCTGTGTTGCATGCGTCTCTCTAATGCACGCCTAAAGTTACAAAATTTATTGCACAAGTTTAAACTTGAAGCTTTAGAAGTTTGTATTTATGATATATTTCAAGTAAATTGGCATTTATATACTCACAATCACAAGCTTTAGAAGTTTGTATTTATGATATATTTCAAGTTTAAACTTGGAGCTTTAGAAGTTTCTCTCTAATGCACGCCTAAAGTTACAAAATTTATTGCACAAGTTTAAACTTGAAGCTTTAGAAGTTTGTATTTATGATATATTTCATGTAAATTGGCATTTATATACTCACAATCACTGTAAGCCTTGGGTTAGCTTTACGAGTCTTCATTATTTTTTTATTTTTGTTGAGATTTTAAATCTATTTTGTGTGATTATTTGCTCAAGTTCCATTCATGTTGCTCAAATTTACCAATTCCCTCCCTTTTTCTTGCACATTATGATTTCTTACTTATCATATTAGTACTTCTATCCACTGTTGTACACGTCCACACTATTTAAAGTATATTTCCCACTACTATTATCTCTGATGGATTTTTATCCGTCAATCCATCTCATGTTATCATTTCTAACTATATTCAAGTTCTACTAAACTTTAATCTCATCATTCTCTTTTTGCTACACTTAGCTCGACTACCAGTGGCTTATTTATTAACCCAATATTTTGATCAATTTAACAAATTTGGTATGATGTAATTTTATAAAATTTACTTTGTCTACACTATATCCTAATATTGTATGGGGGACTTGAGACATTTTGCCATTTGCCATTTTAATCACCCAACCTTTACCATTCTAATTGGTATGTCTCATGTGGATTGAATGCCTTATTTTTATGATATTTTTTCAATGCTAAGCTCCATTATTTTTTTATTATTATTCCATAATATACTTATTGATTTTAGTCCTACTACAAAATTCATGTATTATTCTTAAAAGAAGATTTCATGCTTCCTTAGTGCTTTTGTCTTTAACTAAAATCTTTAATACATTTCTATCTTATATACATTGAAGGAAAAAAAAAGATACCTTATCAACTTCGCCTGCTTCGTCTTTCTTCATGCTTATTTGAAGAAGACTTCCGTCGTCATCCACATTGGATCACCTTCCTCCTTTTTCGTCTTCCTCGTTTTTGTTTCTTCGTCGTGCTCGAGAAGGAGTTCACTCTTCGATTTTATCTGCTTCTTTCCTTCGTCGTGCTGTTGTTTCTCTAATTATCGTTACTTCGTCGTTTATTCTTTCCTTGACCGCATTATTCACTGCTCCTAACGCCTCTCCTCCAACTGGTGATGGCTTCAAACAAAACTTATGTTGCTGCCCTTGCGGGTGTTCACGCCTGAGGTACTCCTAAATCGAGTTTGTTCCCGCCTTCTTTTGCGCAACTGGAGGGTAGTGAGTTATGTATGTTATATCAAGAAAGCTGGTAGGAAGAATGAGAAGTCATTCATCTTTTTTATTGAAGTCGAAAGTT